TTTTCTTCGGTTTGAGCAGCAATTACGCGCCTCCACTGCTCTCGAATGGCCGCAAAACTGAATCGAATCGTTCAGAGTTTTGACAAAGCTGGGATGTGAGAATTTAACGGCTCTGATTAATTTTGCATGTGGTTTTTAGTTTTGATCGAGTTTTTTTGCGGTTTTGGATGATTTTTTTTTTACAGTTTTGCGGTTTCTAGTATACCCCCTACCCCCTCAGTGAGCGACTGCTGGCACACTACACAAACCCACGCAAATTTTTGACCTAGAATCCAACAAGTTAACTATCGCCCTTGATGGCTCGTTGAAAGATTTTACTTCTTTCCTAACACAGTTGCAGTACACAATAGAGAGATTCAGCACCGTGTTTAAGTGAAACGGCATAGGTCAGCTTCCTTTAACACGTTCCACGTAAAATAGCATGAACCTTACTACTTTAGCTTCGCGTGAGCTCACGTCATGTTAGATTTGAAGGCACCCTTGTTAAGACTTACAACAAAAAGTTTTGGTGCCCTTTATCCAGCCACTAACTTCTACTCTGTGTGACAAAAAGTGAAGAAAGTCTTACGTAGACGGTAATTGCGAAACAGGTCACTTTCACATAGAAACGGCCAACGCCCAACCGCAACCGGCCAACGTGAAAAAATGGCAGGATAAACGAGGTCACGTGGTCACTCCTGCCGTTCACGTTTCACCTAAACGCGCTCATAAATCTCTCTACTCATTCCACTTTTACAGGGAAAACAGCTGAAAATCAAGGAACAGAAAATGAACTGACCATCTCTGAAATTTCCATAGTTAATCTGACTCTTGCACTCAACCCATTTGAGTTTGAAGGATTCGTCCAACTTGTCCTCAATTCTAGACCACCCAAGTGAAACTAACGTTGATTCGATCCTAGGTACCAAAGAGAATACTCAAGATTTTGTCTAAACTAATGCTCTGTTTACTGAGTCAACAAAAAACCTTACCCAGCTCTTTCAGAAAAGCTGGTTGGGTTTTTTTTAGCTCTGAGGCAGCATGTCAGGTGTCAAATCTTAATAAAAAAATAGTAAATTCTGTTTACGAGCCAAATGGCCCGTCAGGCCGCCGCTTAATTCCGGTTTCCGTACCATGAAGCAACTAAGAGTATTTCTACTCCCCCCCCCCCTGAATGGGATGCTGGTCCATCGCAGGGTTACCCCCCAGCATTAAATTCGCTGGTACCCATTTATTTTCCTGGGTGAAGAGAGGCACTGTGAGAGTAAAGTGTCTTGCCTAAGAACACAACACAATGTACCCCGGCCAGGGCTCGAACCTGGACCACTTGATTCAAAGTCATGCGCACTAACCATGAGACCACCACGCCTCGACAAACCCTATTAACGACACTTTGAGGTGCAATGTGGACCTGTATGCAAACTTCTGGTCAATTAAAGAACAGTTCGTACATCTGATCACTTTAATCATTGGCTATATTTTTTTCCACACATAATTACTCAATTAACAATGAA